AGACCACAGAAGCCACTGAACCGACCCGGAACCAGTTGACCTGGTTCAAGTAAGACCGACATATGTTGAAGGCTGATTCTGGAAACTATATGCCCTACTGATCCAGGTGTGATGGAAGTAACACAGAGTGACTGCCGTTCCATCTGCTCTGCTGAGAACGGGTTGAGGTGAGGGTGGGGTGTGAAGGGAGGAAGGAGCTCCACGGAAAGAATTGGCCCAGGTGGGTCCAGAGGACGATCGCTCAACCTGCAATCCACCTCGCAACTAAATTCTATTAACATCAGGGCGTGGCAGGCGAGAAGTGGGTAATCTAGGCTGGGTGATTTTTAAAATATTCTCAGCCTCCTCACGGCTCACCCCAACAAAGCATCAGGCTGCCGAGAACTGCGGCCGTACAGCATCCCCACTCGACAGTAGCCACACAGATATTCTGTAATTGTGAACTGGGAACCGTAACTTTAAAATGCTGGAGATCCACTGAGGTATTGAAACAATACTGAAAATTCAGAATTAAGCTAACAAGTACCTATCTGGTTTGGTATAAAATGTAGGAGTTTTGGATAGACTCTTATAGACTGCAAGTACCACACAGAAACCTATGCTGCTCAACAGAAATTAAACCTGTACATGTTTAATGAAAAAGAGGAACATTTTTTCTCATTAATAATTGGTCCACTTTTTCAAGTATACACTTCAAAATACAACTATTATTACAGAGGCCAGACTGATTTCTCTCTTCTCCGTTTCCCAGTATAAATTGCCTCAGCTCTACATAGGAGTAAGCGCATTTCTTACAATGATAATCAGCAGCACCCTCTAGCGAATGTAAGGACAAGGACATGCTATAGCAAAGCAAAGCTGATGCAGAACAGCTGATGAACGATATTTGAGAAGCAGTGGTCAGAGTGAACAAAACTTAGTCCAGGCTTGTTGAGCAATTTAGAGAGTCCCTGAAGAAGGACTCCTGGGGGCCTTCAGAGCTAAACAATCTTTATAACCAGTATAACTGAAAACAAAATAGATTTCTGACCCTCTCGGCCCTAATTACAATATGGAGCATAAGGAAAGGTCTAAAATTGAGAAAGACCAGTAGAAAGGATGGAATCCAAAAGGGCCTCCTTGCCATTCCCTTGCCTTCAATTTTGAGGGTGATCTGACATGGGTCTTTTTTAGTTCAAGCTCATCTTTAATAAAAATCATTGCTCAAAATATTTAGCCCAAAACAGGAGTTTGCTCTGATTGCTTTTTTATTTCCTTCTGCCTTTATGTAAAGTTCCTATTGATGGCAGTAGGATTTCATGGAAGAAGGGCAAAAAAGAGCCCCATATAATGCTTTCTATGACAAAAACACAGGGACCTGGTGGGCAAGATCCCTTGGGAGGCAAGTCTGAGGGGTAAAGGAGTCCAGGAGAGCTGTCTCTACTTCAAAGAGTCTCTCTTAAGTGCGCAGGAGTAAGCTAGTCTGATGAGACAGAAAAATGGTAAGTGCAATATGAAACCAGTCTGGCTGGGCTGCAATCTCTTCAAGGAGCGGAAACTCAATAAGGAACCCTGTAAAAGTGGAAACTTGGTCATCGTACCAGGGAAGAATATAAGAGTATTGCACGGGCATGCAGGAAGAAAATTAGGAAGTCCAAGGCACAATTTGAGATGCAGCTGGTAAGGGACATAAAAGGCAGTAAAAAGGGATTCTACAGTTATGTAAAAAGAAAGAAGAGCAGAGAATCCACAGGTCCATTATGGAATGCCAAAAGCAATCTGGTCACGGATGATGCAGAGAAGGCTGAAATATTTAATGCCCTTTTTTCTTCCATTTTCACACATGGCGCAGGAGCATCAGGGGGCAGCAGGGATCGCCCCCTGCTGGTAGGAACTGGTTAGTCCAGGGAGTTTTCTTGGGGTTTTTTTTCTTAAAATCAGATTTGGACGAATCGATTTGGGACAGTGATTTGAATAATTTAATCAAATCACTGCCCCCCCGAATTGGCCGAATCCAAAGTGAGTACTAGCCACTTCACACAGGCTTAATGTGGGGGCAGAGCAATGGACATGACATGCCTTGACTTTAGTAAGACAAGACTCTTTGGGTAAATGTGATATCTTTTATTAGACCAACTAAATAGTTGGAAAAAATTGTTCTTTGCAAAGTTTTGGGCACAAACACCTTTCTTCAAGCATAGGGAGACTCCTTATCTATGTCTGAAGAAAGGTATTTTGCCCAAAAGCTTGCAAAGAACACATTTTCCAACTATTTAGTTGGTCTAATAAAAGATATCACATTTACCCAAAGAACCTTGTCTGCCTATGTCCTTAGACCAACTCGGCTACAACCAACACCCCCAAAACATGGAAGATATTGACTTTAGCAAGGCTTTTGACATTGTGTCCCATGACATCCTCATTAACAAGCTCAAGAGATACAGACTAGATGAACGTACTGTAAGGTGGATACATAACTAGTTGGATCATCCTTCTCAGCAATTACTCCTCAATGGCTTAATGTCTAGTTTGGAGAACCTTACTTGATACCTCCTCCCAGTGTCTGTCGGTGGTCTGGTAATCATCTTCATTAATGATTTAGATGACAGGATCAAGTGCACACTTAGCAAGTCTGCAAGTTGGGTGGAATTATGGACACTTTGCAGGGCAGGGCTAGGATCCAGAATGACCTGGATAGACTGGATGAATGGCTCGTAGTTCATCAGATTAGACTCAACAAGGATGTGGGCAAAGTCCTGCACATGGGAGGGAATAACTGCATGCACAAATACAGACTGGGGAATCTAGCATGGTTGCAGCACTGCAGAGAAGGACCTGGGGGTTATGATAGACTGTAAGCTGAATAGGAGCCAAGAGTGTACTTTTGTTCCAGAAAAAGCCAACAGCACCTTGCACTGTAGTACAAAGAGTGTCTCTTGCAAATCAAGAGATGTGATTCTTCTGCTTCATTCAGCACTGGTGAGGCTTCACCTGGAGTACTTTGTTCAGTGTTGGGCCACACACTTCAAGAAAGGTATGGACAGATTGGAAAGAGTCCAGTGTGGGGCAACAAAAATGATTAGGGGCCTCAGAGGCTGAAAGAGCTAGCGTTATTTAGCCTGGAGAAGAGAAGACCGAGGGGAGATTTGATAACAGTCTTCAAAGACTTAAAGGCTGATTATAGGGAAGATGGAGATGGGCTTTCCTCTGTGGCTGTAGGGGACAGGACTAGGAGCAACAGCCTTAAGCTGCAGCAGGGCAGGAACTTTCTGATTATGATGGTGGTCAGGCATTGGAACAGGATACCTACAGAAGTTGTGGAACATCCGTACAGGCAGTCCTCAACTTAAGACATTTCGAGTTACAACGAACAGCACTTACAACATTTATAAACTGACACCCTGTTTCGACTTTCTGACGTGGTTTTGACTTGACAACGCTTGATCCAATGCGATCCACACCAGCAAACAAGTTCGCTGTGTTGCCCATCTCCCTGGAGAACATCTGTCCAGAATTCCTTGAACACTTTATTTAAGAAAGCAGACGAGACTCCAGAAAAACCTGCAGCCGAGACTCCTGAGAAGACTCCAGCCAAGAGCCCTTCAAAAAGTCCAACCAAGAGCCCTTCAAAAAGTCCAGCAAAGTTACCTCAAAGAAGTCCTTCCAAATCAATATGATTGCTATTTATAATATAAATACATTAATGTAGTTATATTACTCATCTATAATTGATTGAGTACAAAATTCAGGGTATTTTTGGTGAAAATAGGGTATCGGGCCTGGGTTCAGGAACCAATCCCTCATTTATAACATTGTTTCCTATGGGAAAATCAGTTCCGAGTTATGATGTTTTGACTTAAGACACGGTTTCCGGGAACCACCTGTATCATAAATCTGAGGCCTGCCTGTACTTGAAAACTTTCAAGAGTAGGTTAGACACTTGACTGGGATGATTTAGTCAGGGATGATCCTGCTTTGAGCAGGGGGCTGCACTAGATGAACTTGTAATGTCCCTTCCAACCCTACTGTCCTATGATCCTACAACAAACAGAATAACTCCATGCTTGTGCTGCTAAAACAAGAACAGATCAAATTCTATTTCCTAAAGGAAAATATTAAAATCAGAACAGCCAGGGCAGGCTGATGTGTTAGGAGTCAGGCATAGCATGAAAGGAGCCTCTTCTTCCTCACTTCCTTAGGTGCCCCTGTATGATGGAAGTCTCTCCTCTCACTCAATGGTCTGCTGAAAAGGGACTTGACTACTGTATTGACCGGGGAACCACAGACCCAAATAATCTGCCACTTTGCAGGCATGCTTGATTTTCCAGCATATAAACTATGTTGTGCAGTGCCCGCTAGTGAGAGTACCATGCTACACTAGACAGAGTTTGGACATGATCTAAAATAACACTGTATCACCTTTAAATAGTGGGCATTTGTATTAAAAGGAATATCACTTTGTATTAAAATTAACTATGTGCAAAAGTTACGAGGACAGCCTCTGTCCCTTGGTTTCACAGCATAAATGGTTATGAAGGAACCTCTCCCACCCGAGTGCACCCCTGAATGAACTGTCATTTCAACTTCCTCCTAAAGCATAGGAATAAGCCATTTCTAGAGGCAAGATGAAGTTGAACTTCAAAGGTCTACTTTCGCATGACAATTCCTGTACTCTGATCATCTTTTTCCAAGAAACTGTATTTGACTCAACATTTTGCCCTGGGGGACTGTTAAATTGTCACATCACGGGAAATCTGCGGAGCTGACGGAGCTTCATCTTGAGACAAGTAATAATCTGATCTTCCTAGCGCCAAACTTGGCGTCGCCACGACTCGCCTAGAAGCTACCGTGATTTACAAGGAACTTGTGTTGGAACGCCTTAATGACTGAAATGTAATGTATACACTCCTATTCCTTAGAGCAGGCATATTACAATTTCTATTGGCTGCCAAGATGAAAACTGTGAGTGACCACTGCTTGATGTCATTCTTGGGGGGGCAATCCTCCCAATTTCAGCCTACCTTTTCCTGAAGGGAAGAAGCAGTCCATCTCCACGCTGCTCCGGGAGTGGGAGATGCAGAGAGTGCTGCTGGGGACGAGACCTTCCTGAGGGGGGCTCCGCTCTGTTGTCCGTACCAAACACCAGCCCGGCCTTTCACTCGGTCTCTCTAGTAACTCCACGGTCTGTCCCACTTGGATGCTCAGCTCGCTGCTATGGCTGGCAGTGAAGTCTTGTAGCACCACGGTGAGTTCACAGCCTCCAGACAGCTGCCAGGTGAAGCAGGGGAGGAAAAGAAATATTGAAAAGTTCAAGGCGGCAGAAGGCAACAGCACTGTCTTCTCCGGTGCAAATGCATAGGCAATCCTACATCTCTGGTATACAGGAATTCGCTCCCAGTTCCTTAGAGCTAGGTTAATAATTTTCTACGTCAAAGTTTAACTAGCCGTGCCAACACTTTCCTTTATTTCTTATCAACCTGCTGCAAGAAATTCAAAGCCGCCCATTGGTTAACTCTTAGATTGCTGACACCTTCCTGGGCGTAGGTTCTGCCTGGCTTCCATTACAACACTTAATTTTCTTGCTTTCCCCCCTTTATTGACTTGAAGCAAAGCAAGTATTGGAGTCCAAAATTCCCCCATTTTCTGCGCCATCTTAGAGCAAGCTCCAACTCTCCCACCTGCAGTCAGGATTGCAGTTGGGTTCCCATGCACCATCAGTAGGGATTTCAATAAGGGAACAAGTGCAAAATATTGCACACGTGAAGCTGGCTCTGATTTTTGCCAAAAGGACGTGCTCCAGGGACCTCTGCACTGACTGGGGTGTCCTGACTCAGGAGATGAACTTTCTCCCGTGGAAAGCTCTGTTTTGAAGAACAGGGGCGTCCTTTAGCAACTAACGGAAACCAGAGTAATTGCCTATGCTCTCCCAGGATCCTGGCCTAAGAATAAATGCATCATCCTGTTTCTACTAGTCTTGCTGAAAAAACTGTGTGTGTTTCTTCATTTGCTCACATTTCTGTTGCTCACAATGAATTACAAAGGTCTTGACAAACAAGTGCCAACACAGGCTTTTTACCACACTATAAAGTTTTCTGCCTGGTTGCTCATGCATAGGCCAGAAACACAAGGCGGGTGGGGGGATGGATGAAGAAAGATTCAAAAAAAGTTTTAAAAATCACTGTAAATCCACGTGATTTGGGCCTGATCCTATACGGTACTGACTACTCCAATGAAGCTAATGATGTTGACGGTAATCATCAACTCCAGGAGTTGCTAGCACCTTGCAGGACTGGGTCCTTTTCACTACGCATCCAAAATTAGAGCATTGTGGACGTGTCTACAGTTCACTGGATACTGCAAGGGAGCATAGCCATGAAAACATGCCTCATCCAGTCCCTGGTACTCTGGATGCCCCCTGCTGAATAAAGTTATGTGGCTGCTCTCTTGAGATGCCTAAGAAAAAGAACTGATGGTTTAGCTGCCTTCTTGACACTGAGATCTAACGATGGCATCCTTTTTAAGTCTATTATCCGAGGCTCCTCTACTCTACAGGCTTCATTCCATGACACTGAACCCAATGGAATAATTTCTCTTGAACCAATAAACCTTGTGTCTCTTAACTTTGCCAAGTTGTGGGGTACTGGACTCACAACTGTGACATTTCATCTATAGCTGACACCTTAATCTCAGCTGTCCTGGGCCTTGAGGTCAGAGGAAACATTTTATCTGGAAGCTGGGTTTGTTTTTTAAACAAAATGATACTTATTTGAAGTCACTCAGGTGTTTAAATCCTGGCAGAGCTGACTCTCAGTGCAGCTGGAGTGGTTGCAAGGAAGTAATATATTAATTTAGCATATATGAGCTCATACCTGTATTGTTTATCATGTGATTTCACCATTTATCGTAGTGAGCATACACACATACATGTGGTATAGCAATGATAACATATAGCAGCAGGATTGATTTGCTGTAGAATAATCGGATAAATTAAAAAAAAAAGACTTCCTGGTCTGGAGTCCTGAGAGGTTTAATAAACAAGAAATCAGGCATGTAAATACTTTTAGTACCCTTTTCAAAAGGGGAGAATTTGGTTTCTCCTTTTGTGGTGATAATCTGCACCTACAACAAGATCTAGGGTGTAAAACTGAGTTGTTGAACCCATCACTTACTGCTTTGTGCCCCAATTTGCACATGCAAAGAAAAAGGTTCCTCATTTCTCATGGGTGATGGTTATAGCTGTGTTGGTCTAAGGACACAGGCAGACAAAATTCTTTGGGTAAATGTAATGTCTTTTATTAGATCGACTAAATAGTTGGAAAAATGGTTCTTTACAAGCTTTTGGGCACACACACCCTTCTTCAGGCACAGGCAGAGTCTCATAGAGAGAGGGCAAACACCACCAGTACTATACAACTTTGTAACCTCATACTTGATGAAACTGCGAAAACTAGTCAACCCTCCACAATTATCACTCTCTCCACACTTGTACTTACCAAAGCTGAAAAATCTGTCTTCTCTAAAGGCCTTAATTTCTGTCCAGATAAATACCCTAATCATATACTACAATGTGGAGAACCAGAAGAATTTTTCCGACACAAGCACCAGCAGACTCTCCCCATATCTGAAGAAGGGTGCTTGTGCCCGAAAGGTTGTAAAGAACATTTTTTTCTAATTATTTAGTTGATCTAATAAAAGATTCACCCAAAGAACCTTGACTGTCTCATTTCTCATGTTATTTTTCCCTGCCAAAGAAGGCCCCCTTCCCCCGACCCCCATTCTCTTCTCTCTACCACCTCCCTCGGAGAGAAAATCAAACCTTTCCTTCTTTTAATGCAGATCACTGGCAGAAGCAGCCTGGATGTCTCTGTTTCTCTTTTGGAAAAATAATCATATAATCTATGTGCTCTGCACTGACATGCCACTAGGTGTCCGTGTTTGCCAGCATCCAGCAAGCCAGCTGGCTGTAAGGAATACACTTGCCCTTATCGTCAGCAGTTTTTTCTCAACTTGGATGTATGCACGACTCACTGAGTATCACGCTAATGACTGTCATCTCAAACGACTGGGGAACACGTCGAAGAAATGAGTGGCTGCGTGCTCCCCCTGATGACAGCTGAGCACCAATCATGTCCAGTAATAAAGGTGGCAGGTACTACAAACCAGGGACAGGCTTTGTTCAGGCAGGTGATTTGATTGTTTGACAAATATGTCCTTTTTTATTGTTAAACCACAAGAAGAGAAACCACGCTGGCAGCTCTTAGGGGAAAGTGCTGTGGGAGATGCTGTTTCAGAAAGTCCAAGCAGAGTACAGCGAGTGACAGGGAACATTCATCTGCAAAGTGCTGCCCTGAATATCAGACGTGTTCCCAACAATTATTTCTGAGGTGGGGCCTCATACAACAGGCGGATGAACAGTTAACATAAAAATCAATGGATAAGACGGTTTTGTCAATGCCTTGTCCAATTGCTCAGGTTCTGTGATAACTATGGGTGCTTCAGCCACGATGGCTCTTCTAAATACTGCCACGTAAGAGGGATCTGCAGGGACCCGGTCATTACCTAGGGACTTATTGTTTCTCTTAGTTGTTAAAAATAGTTATTCAAAGCAATAGGCTAAATTGAGAGGAGAGGATTTCCTTGCAAATCCAGTGAATGCATTGGTAGACAGAGCCTGAGAACTACCCTCTGAAAGGCATCTGAGACTGGGGAGAGGAGAGATGATCTCTGGTTATCCCACACTAGTTATGGTGGCAGCTCATTTCAATCACTGCTCAGCTGCATACTCGAGAGGGGTCAGCAGGAGTAACAACAGATGTTGCCAGATGAGGTGGATCAGGTGTGCTGGGACACATCCTGGCACAACTGATCCGCTTCATCGAATTAAATGCTTGTTGCCCATTGACCCTGTGGGACAACAGGCGACGTGTTCCCCCTTTCACAAATGGGACCTCTGCAATATCCGGGGCATGTCTCTATAAGCAGGGAATGGTGGTCCCAGCCCCAGGACTGGTGTGGTCTCGCTCTGGGGTGATCCTGAGGCTGGGAGGAAGTTTGACACCGGCGCGGTCCCAGGGCTGGGACTAACAATCGGCTGACTGGCGTTCCCAGCCCTGGGGGTGCACTGGAGTATTGACAGGTGCTTGGGCAATCCCGAATGGGAGGACCAGTTTAGCCTTGGCTGAGATGGATCTAGATGGGGATGGTTTTGCTTTGGACTAGATGACCTCCTGAGGTCCCTTCCAACCCTAATTCTTCTTTGATTCTATGACCCAGGAGTGCTCCTGTGGGTTCGGGGTCCAAATCCTGACTGCCTTGGGAATGGGAGCTCAGGCTGACCATGCTCTCCTGCCATAAACCTAATAGATGACTGCTGCAATAAGGCAGCACAAATTGATGCCACCTATGTATTGGCCATCAATTTTGGGCATTTGTGGTGTGACGAGGGGTATGGAAGTCTGTTTGCTTGGCCTGGTTGACACCAATTACTTCAAACTGGTTTATCTTTTTAAAGATGCCCAGGTTGTTCCTCAGGTTTTCCAGTTTTCCCCTAAAAGGAGGAGAGCTTCTCCCCAAAAAAAGGTGCAGGCCTCACCACTTTCAAAAAGTGAATTTTCTGTAAGAGAAAGAACCTATCTTTGGCAAGGAAGGCAGACTCCCCTGTGCAGACGCAGACTGTGCACGTAATTAGGTAGAAAGAAGTGCAAACACTCAGATCGGCATCCGCAAAAACAGTATGCAGGTGCCAATTATAGCCACAAGAACAAAAGCAACAGTTAATCCCTTTGTACAGGTGACTTGAAGCATTCCCCATCCTTGATTTTCTTCTGCCTTAGAAATCCTGCACTTCAGGAAGAACTTCTACTTATCACATTAGTCCACAGCGAAGAAACCACACCAGAAAGCTTGTTGGTCTGTTAATACTATAATACACCCACCCCTGCAGGCAGAAATAAAAGTTGATTGGATTCATTATGATAAACATCCTCTCACTTCTGTAATGTTCCTGTAAGCTATTATGTAACACTTTCTTATGAAGTGCCTTTTTCAGCCATAACTAAGTGACATTACTCTTCTCATTCTGTCTGATTTTGTAAAATCACATACGTACATACTACATTACAGTTCATATGAGGAAAGAAAGAAAACATATCATCCCAGAGTCACAGAAAAATAGAACTGGAAAGGACCCAAGGAGGACATGTAGTCCAACCTCCTGTCCAAGGCAGGAACATCCCTGACTAAACCATTCCCAACAAGTAGATAATGTCTCACCGGGATATATTTCAGAGTAAATGGTTTAATATTTTTCTCTATGCCATGCTCATTATTTTTGTCATAAAAACCCATCATTGCATTTTGTTACTTTCACGTATTAACGACCCACCC